GAGATGAAAAAAGTGTGATTTGGATGGTGTGGCAAGAGGCAAAGGTGGAGACGGATGTAGGCTGTGAGCCCGCCTCTTTAGAGGTGTCAGTCCGGTCTGCCAAGAGGAAAAGGAGCAAACAGGCAGATAGATGAAGCTGAGAGGGGCAAAGCACCCTGAAGAGCCCGAGGTGATCGCTCCTCAGGGGACCTGTTGGTGACCAAAAGGGAGGCAGCAAGGGGTGGGAGATGTGGCCAGAGGAGGAGAGTTGGGGAGACCAGGAGAAGACGGGGGACCTCCAACAGGGAGAAGAAGACACAAATGCCAGGAGGTAGAGAGGCTTTGAGCTACGAAAGGAGATGACCAAAAGGAAGGAGATCAGCCTCGGGACCCTGCACATATCTGAACTCCTGGACAACTGGGAAAGAGAAGGTGCAGAGGACATCAAGGCTGTGGCTGCTCTGCAGTTCCCGAGTAGCTGCCGGGAGCTTAACAGGTTGCCAGCACCTGAATTTGGCATTTTTACAAAGGTCACCCAAAACTGATGCAGGGTGGTTGAGTAAATTTTTTCCTTCTCTTACACAGTTGCAGGCTAATGGCCTTAATAAAATACCTGGTTTTATGATCTGTTTTTCTCCTAAGCAGCCATTCATACATTTTTTTTTTAATGATGCCTAATTAAGTCCTTGGATAAAGCCCTTTGGAGGCTATCCAAAGACATAAACTCAGATAAGTCTGGGCGCTATGATGCAACAGTCACTGAAATATCTTCCCAAAAGACAGCTAAGCAGATTGCAAATGGACCAAAGAAGGGTCTGACGAAAAGAGGTGGGTGGAAGAGATATAGACTCATGTAGGTATCTTCTTCAACTGCCTTAAAGTTACTTTTAGGCATGAGGTCTGAAAACCAGTAAGTTGTATTTATAGCCTCTGCCTGGGCCAAGGGTGGCAGCTGTGGAGAAGAGGAACGGCACTGGAGAGATGCTGGCTGGGGATGGAGCAGCCTTGGGGCTCCCCTGGGTGACCATGGCTGCTGCTAGGACAGGGAGAGACACATGCACCCGCTTGCACCCGCTTGCAATACTTGTACAACAAGGGTGGAGTACAACCCCGACAAGACAGCGTGGTCTGTGGGCAGGCAGTGCCCTGGGCCCTGCGTGGGTGCTGGAAACCAAGACTAACCCAGACAAATTGATGGCCCAACAGCAGCCCACAGGCTCAGCCCCAGGGCAAAACTAAACTGTAAGAGGTGCTTGGCTGTGTGCATCAGCCACGTAGTGCGCTCCTGAAAATGGAGGAAACATTTCTAACGTGGTCAGTGGTACTTTTCCTGTGTGGTTGTCTGAAGCACGAAAACCAGTCTGCTTTTGGTATTTATATCTAGGGGTTGCACAAAAATATGTAAATCACTATTAAGTTTCCTCTGAATTAATCCCTAATGATATATGTTTTTTAATGGGCCCTTCTCTATTGTCACAGATGAGAAATGGCCCTTGTTACCTCATGGGGATGTACCCTCTGCCCTTCTTTATGGTTTTGGTGGGAACTATTTTAGTGCCATTGGAGGCTCAGTGACAAGAAGGTGGAAAAATCTGCAATGGAAACCCACCAGAGTCTGCAGTTACTGTCTGCATCTTGCACTTTCCAGTACTGAATAAAATTGCTCCTGCCATGCCCTGTGAAAGCAGGGGAGAGAGGGCAGATCTGTAACTGTCTAATCTCGCTTGTCTTCTCTTTCTCTCTGCGATGGTAAATATTAAGTGGTGAAGGCGCCGCCTGCTCTTTCGGTACTACAGCTGAGGTCCCTGTACACATAGTGTAAGCCTCTTGGGGTGGAGAACGCAGGTCTTAAATTTGAGAGAATGAGGAAAGGACAAACTTTCATTCTAACGAGCTCTCCCATCCGTAAAAAAGTGAGTTGCAGCTGTATCTCCCCTCTTCTCTCACCTCCAGAGTAGCTGAGGCGGTCTCCTTCCGGCTTATTGCCTGACACGTGGGATGTGGGAGCTGTTTTCCACCCTGAAGCTGCTCCATGAGGAACTAAAAACAGATCTGCAACTACATCCAGCCAACTGCAGGTCAGCAGCACACTCATTTATGGTTCTGTCAGACTACCTATGAGAGGACTGCTGCTTCCACTTAGCTTTTAAAATAATCTCCTCAATTCTCTCTGCAAAACTCTCTGTAGTACCAGTGCCCGCTGCAGTGGAAACTGCAGATGCTGCCACTTGTCAGTAAACCCCGAGCTGGGTGGTGCCAGAGGCCTCAGAGCTATAAGCAACGTGCAGCTGATTGATCACTGAAGGAATGCAACCTTGAGAGGAACCAGCTTTCAACTGTAGCAAAAGCAATGACCTATGACAAGGAGGCGTGTGTGGCTTAATTGTGCTAATGAATCTATTACTTAAGCTGTCAGAAAGTTATATCCTGAGGAGTGTTGGAGAAAACAGGAACCTCCCGTCAGAGGAACCAACCGTTGTGTAAGGGTCGCATAACTTGACCACATATATAATTGTGCAGCAACCTATGGAAACTGCTCTTGATTCACAGTGTAGGCAGTGCTGTGTATATAACTATGCAACAAAATCCATTAGTTACACAGGCACTTTGCTTCAGCGTCGAGTGTGTAGAACCGATCTTGGTCTCCTGTATCGCTTCCCGCGTAGGTACTATTTTGCTATTATTTAAGGGGGAAAACTACCAATGCTTGTGTACGGTCTAGTGTTGTGCTCTCGTGGCTTGGCTGCAGGTTGGATGCGACAGCTGGGCAGTCCAGAGGGTTTGGCGGGGTGGATGTTTGCTGCTGCTTTTGCTTGTCCTCCTGGCTGATCCTTCCTGTTTCAAGTCCAGTCCCCAAGGCTGGCTCGCTTCGCCGGGAGTTGCTGGCCTTGGTGACTTATCAGTCACAGTCATGCCTTTTACATATATGTATATATGTATGTATATTTGTATAATACAAGTGAGGAAACCAAGCACTGGTTAACACTGGGAGGAAATGAGGGCTTGCAGAGTGGTCTGAATACAGACGTCATTTGCAGGTTGCTGGAGAGTTTCTTGGTTGCTTTCCACAACCTTTGTGGTTGGGTTAGGTCACAGCCCTCCTCCCTAACTCTTTCTTTTCTCTTTTTTCTCTTCCCCTCCCTCCCTCGCTCTGAGTTTTCTACAAAGCTGCCTTTCTGCATCCCTACTCATTTCCCAAGGAAGCAACCTGGGTCTTTCGTGGCTGGGGGGCAGCAGGCACCGGCTGCTCTTGCCGAAGGGGCTGCTCTGGTGCATCCTCGTGCTCGCTGGTCCAGGTACCGTCCTAGGACGCTGCTGCTTTATGATGCTTTTCCTGGACTTCAGGCAGGGAATGAGAAATCTTGGGCTTTGTCTAAAGTGCTGGTGCTGGTGTTCACTTGTGGTGTGGGTAAGCTGCTTTTACCACTCAGCTTCCCCAGATGCTGGTAGCATCCTAAATCAGGCAGGAAAGCCGGGGAGGGTTGTATTGTTGTCTGGGGCAGTTGGGCTCCCATTGTTTGTTTGTTTGTTTGCTTGTTTTCCTTCTTTCCTTTGATCGCTTTGTTTTCAGTCTCTTCCAGACAGCTGGCTCTGTCCCATTCATCAGCCTAATTGATGACGGGCAGTGTGGCTTTGTGGAAAATAGAACTTGCCTGAATAGCTAGATTCTTTTTTTGTGTGCTTATTTTAATGAGATGAAATGGTATGGTGGTCAGTAATAGTGCCAGTGCTGTTATCATGCTCTTCTTTTCACTTGGGCCAACACACCATGCCAGCACGGTAGGAAATCCATGTGGCACACAGCATGTGAACTTAAAAATGGCTAAATGCTCGGTCACAAGATCACTGGAAGGTGTGTTAGTGCTGTGCTACAAGGATGGCCCCTTGTGCCTCTAAATGTGAAAGGTTCGCTAAATCATTGCTGACTAAAATTTGCGGATGGTGCAAACTAGTACTAGGGACTCACTCAAGGGGACACACTAGCTGAGTACTTTTCTCCACCGAGCTTCGATTTCAAAGCCCTTTAATGGGATTAATGTGGGCAAGGAGACCACTGTGTACTGTTTCACAGGCACAGAGACCTTTGGCCTGCACAAAATGGTGTTTCCACAGCATTAAATTCCTTGCATTAGTGATATTTATACCTTCTTCTGCTTTAATGAAACGACTTGATCTGTCACAGGTATTGCACAGTGTCTAGACAAGTGTTATAGTGATATTATTAATGATGATTATTGAGGGAAACTGCTGTGCCACGGCCTCAAAGCACCTCCGTCACACTCTGCACCCCCTCAGTGAGACGGTGCGGTTGTTCCTGTTTTAAAAAATGAGGGCGACTGAGATGCCTAAAGATGAGGTGAGGTCTAAGGCCACAAAAAGCAGCAATAACAGGGAAAGTTTTCCCCTGTCGGCAGAAAGTGCCTTATAGTTATAGTTTCTCCTAGTTGCCCGACCAAAGATTTGGCTAATCGTTATCCAGTACTGGAAAAGTACGTGTACACTGGCAGCAACTTTGGCAATGTCTGTCTAGCCCATCTCTATACACCTATGTATATACACTATCCTCCACCACCATAAACCTGGTGGAAATTACACTTTTTCCTTTAGGTGGAATGATATTTCAGTCTCCTACTGCACTTCTGACTTGGGCTTCAGAGCACAGATCCACCAATGAATATTAGCACTGCTCTTCTGTGATCCACTTCTCTGAGAACGTACAAAAAATTGGTTTTTTTTCCATGGCTGTATTTTTTTTCCTCCTTGGTTTTTGATCATATCCAAGCATTGCAAGGTCTGCAACAGGTCAAGTGTTTAAAGAGTCAAAGCAATTCTCCTCCTGCCTTAGTGGGTGGTTTAACACCCATTTGATTACACTTCTGCTTTCCTCTTCTCCAGGACACACAGCTAAAGAGGTGCTAACGCCTGGGAACATTTCTGCAACCAGAGGCAGCAATGTCACCTTGCACTGCTGCATGGTACTATCTGCTGCTATCGTCTCCTTGGTGAGCTGGAACCAATGCAACGGCATTGACCTGGTGGTCTGCCTGAACGAAGACACAGCCAACATCTGCCCAGCATTCAGGGAAAAGATCTCTCTGGCAGCAGAGTATGGGATTACACTCCACTTACTGGGACTCAATAACACTGGGGATTACTGCTGTAAATTCCACATCTTCCCTTTTGGAGTATTATGAAGGCAGGATGTTCCTGGAAGTGACAGGTAAGGCAAGAAAAAGTGTGGGAATGCAGGTTCTTGGCAAGTGAGTTAAAGTTTCAAAATCTCTTTTTTTCAAAAATGAATGAGGTCTGCAAAGCTGTGTAGATGCTTAGCCTCCTTTGAAACTGAGAGGCATTATAGACATGTAACGGCCTCTGTGGACTTGGGCTTGAAGTGTTTTAGAAATCTGATCAGTCCTTCTAAATCACTGACTGCTGTATCCTGCAGCTCACAGCTATCCATTGGGAATATTAGGAATGCAGCCCTTCTGAAAAAAGCAGGCAATTTTAAAATGAACTTTAACTACCATTTAGATTTTTATCAGTCAATATCAAAATTCCCATTTTTGATAAAAATGACATGAACTTTGTACATTTTTGTTGAAAACAGTGGTCATTCATCTTGGTTTTGGCACAGGCAGGCAGAAAGTGACCTGAGAGATCTTTTTTTGAGGTTACTATTTTTTTATTTTATGTTCCCTTTTCCATAGTCTAAAATATACAAATGTGAATCTATCCCTTGATAGGGATAGGGACCGTAGTGAATGGTCTTTTATTAAAAAAAAAAAAAAGGCTTGTCTTGACAGAGCTGCAGCTGTATCTGTCAGCCAGCAATGAAACTTAACCTCTCTGCTTGTGGGCTAGAAAGGACTGTTAGACGTTTATGGCGACACTCTGGGACTTGCTGTTGTGGCCCCTGCCTTGTCATATGACTTGATGTACACTCCTCGTATAATCCATACGCTCAGCCATACATCCACTCTGTCATATGTCTGAGCATATAGGCCTCGATGGAGATACCTGCAGTTGGCTCATGCAACCAAGCAATTGCAGGTCCCAGATGCAGAAGGGGCTGTGAGGTGTTCAGGACAGAGGCTACCAGGCAGCTGAGCTGGTGATGGGCTGCAAACAGCATCCACTGCCTCGTTTCTTGGCTCTAAGTAGCCTAAGGGTTGGGAGAAAGGACTGCAAGGGGCGGTCCTGGACTGTTTTCAGCCCATGAGCTAGATTGCACACCCTTTGCCAGCCCTGCAGTCCAGAGGTGGAACTGCATTGCTGGTAGATTTAGGTTGCTACTGCAACCTGGCATGTAAGGAATAGCACTTGTTGTGGCCAAGTCCATCTGAGATTATCATAAGCATGAAATAACTCAACTCTAACTTGCCAGCTGTGTCTGACCAGAGCTAGACACGCATGTCCTGACTGTGGTGAAGGGACTAGGCAGCCACACGGCTGTTACTATAGTGGGCGTCACTGGTGTGCATGCAGCACCCCATGTCAGGATCTGAACAGTAGCCTCAGGTCCCTTCCATGCACACTTGGTAGGGGAACACGCCTTCAAAATTTGCAGCATTGACTTCTTGCTTCACTGATTTCAGCAGAATCAGCACAGCCTGCCTTTTGCACCGTCCATCCCTCAGTACTCATCTGCCTGATAGGAGGAGCACTCTGTGCCATGTGTCTTGTCTTCTGGCTCACCAGGGCAAAGGTAAATGGACCAGCATGGCTAAACGTGCCCAAGGCCTGGCTGCTTTCCCTGGGGGTAGGACCTTTTCAGCCCAGCTCTTGGCTAGCAGTTGGAGGATCTCCCTGGCCAGAAGATTTTTGATCATACATTTAAACCCCAAACAAATGTCACCTGGTCAAAAATTTCCTCACACTCACAGCCCTGGAAATGCAGTACCTGACAGAGACGCTGGGAAATGCTAGACCCTTAAATTCCACTTTTCCTCCACCAGCAGCGACTACATCCACTAGTTGTCCTCACCCCACAGACTCACTGCAAGAGAAGTATCCATGTAGTCCATTTCCTGAGCAAATATGAAGGAGGGTCTTGAACCCATCCTAATTTTGTGCTTTTGTGCTCAGCTGCATCTTCTGCTCGCTTTTGGGCCCTGAGGTTCAAGTAAGTGACTCAGAATCCCCAGGTAGGCTGAGCTGGGACTATGACTCAGGGCCCTCACCTGGGGCTGAGGGTGAAGAAACCTCTCAGATGGGTGTGAAGGTAGGCACGAATGTCTGCATGTGCCTGTGTGTGGAGGCGTGTGTGTGTGACATCCCCATTTCTTTCAAGGCGCCTATTGAGAATATGCTTTGGCTTCCCAGGAACCTATCTCTGGGCAATTTCCCAATTTCCCCACTCTCTGCTGCTATGCGAGGATCTCTGAGGCAAGGGCCATGTTTAGGAGCCTCATTTTAGGCTTGTTTTGCTTTTCTGTGCAAATAGAAACATATGTGCCAACAGATATCACAGCTGTGCCTCCCTTCCAAGCAATGTAAAAGCCACAGGGGATTCTCCTCTCCATCACAGGCCAAAGCTGAGGGCACATCTTGGAAGACTTCACTTCCTCCCTGACTGGGGACAGGTTTCCTCCTGTTGGCTAAGTGTGTGCCCCCTCTTAGGAGCACTCAAGCCCCTATTGGTATGAAGCCACATCCAAGATCATCTTTATTCCCTGGCTCCTCCGCACTCCTCCACTGAGCTCCCACTTGAAATCTCCTCAGGAGACAAGAGCACAGTGTAACCCTCAGTTGAGAGCACAAGCATTTGTCCTAACCCTGGTACCAGGGTTCCCTGCAGGTTAGCCTGCAGCCTGGGGAAACTTGGACCATTTCAGCAGTCCTTGGGGCTGGGGAGGGGGAGGGAAGGTCTTGTCTGATGAAGAGTTTGATTTGAGAGGGACCCTAACAGCTTTGACTTCCTTATAGAAAAAAATGAGGACGATCCATGTGCCGCCACATATACTGTGGAGGGTGCTTTCAAGGCACGCCCAGCGACCAAGCCTTCTTCATGGCACCACAGCAGAGAGGGGGCAGTGGTGGCCCTGAGTACCAGCGTGCAGAAAGGGATTGATAGTGAGCACAAGTATTTCAACATCTCGCACTACAAAAGCAACATCAGTAGTGTGAGCGTGGCAGTAAAAACAGGCTGATTTGTCAAAAGTAGGAGGCTGAGAGAGAAGAGTGAGCGAGCATGAAGTCAACTCTGCTGTTCTTGCCATGCTTTCTGCATCTTGGGTGCCTTGCTTCTCCCAGGTCTGTAAAAACTGGTCCAGAGGTTGGGAGAGGAGTTGTGATAGAAGCACAAGGAGATGTTTGGTGGAAATGAGTAAGATGGTGAAACTATTGTGGGGCTGGCTGAAAGGTGAACAGCTTTTTCTCTGGCAGGACATTTTTGCAAGAGATGAAAAAGCTAGCCCGTGCCCAAGTGATGCAGAGCTGCACCTGGGGTTGGGCCTAGTGTTGCTGCGGATCAGGGCAGTGTGAGGAGATGCGTAGGCAGCGAAGCGCTGACTGTAAAACCACGCTGCTCCTCTGCTCTGCTTCTCCTGAGGTTGCGTCTCATTATTTTTGCAGCTCTGTTTGGGGTCTTGCAAACATTGAGTGAAAGCCCTTATTGAAGAAGCCCAGCTGGACTAACAGCGAGCAGCCTTGGGAGGGTGCTCCTCGATGCCGGGAGGGCGACAAGACGAGGGACCGTTACGAACGGCAAGGAGGAACGAGGCCTCCCAGCTAGGAGGTCAGGCAGGAGGAAGCCTAGCGGCTCGACTTCCCACCCCACCACCGCGTGGCCACCACTGCAGTAGAGCTACCACGGGTCTGTGGGACCAGTGGCAGTCTTGCACCTGACACCCGCCTTCCATCATCTTCTCCAAAGAAAAATAAACCCACAAAGACACCTGCCACATTGTTTTGTCTTTTTTTTTTTTAATTATTCCTTCATATTCAAACTTCACAAACAGTGTGAACTTGTACAATACCTCAGAAAGTGAAACTTACAAAAAAAGTGCTGGTAACATTAAAAAAAAAAACAAAAAACAAACATCATTCTTAGCAACATCAATTACTCTTCCACACAAAACAGAAACCTTGTAAAATTTATTTCCGTATTTTTTTAAGGCGTAATACTTCCGTATAAAGTATATGCAAGAGATAAAACTTCACAGTATTCCAAAATGTCACAATAATAATAATAATAATATAGTATAATGAAGCGCTACAGTTAATTTTCTTTTTTTAATTTTTTTTCCTGTTTTAAATAACAAATACAAGTCACAGGTAAATATACGTGAGAAAAATACGAGGCTAATATTAAATGGCAGGTAAGGATACTCTCACTGTAAGAAAAAACTGGCAGGATGTGTGTATTTATTCTATATTTTAAAGCACTTGATAGAAAAGGCGTATGCAAGATTTTTTTTTTTTAACAATTTTCTATTTGCTTGTTTTGATAACTGACATACCATTTACAGAGTATAATGAGAGAAAAAAAAGGAACTTAACCCCTCAAAACTTTTGACCTGCTCTTCACATCGTCACAAACCATGTTTCTAGAGAGATGTCTGTATAGAGGTGTATATGTGTGCACGCGTCAGTGTGTGTTTGAGTGTGTGGATGGGTGAGTGTCCAGAAACACATGCAACCACAGCAACACACATTGGTACAGGCAAAGAACTGTCTCCTGTAGAAGATCTCTGCCACTCTGGGGCCAAATCCTGAAGTCTCTATTCTGGCAAAATTGCCACTGACGTCAGCAGAAGGGCGCAGAAACTGCGACGGAGGGTTGCCCGTATAAAGACTCCAGGATTTTGGCCTGGATGCAGTTTCCCATTCACTCAGTTTTGAATGACTGTTGGGAATTTCTTTGTCCCCAAGAAGAAAATGTCCCTTTGTTTTTTTTTTTTTTACACGCGCACACAAGTGCGTGTGCTCTTCCCTCCACCCTTTAGCTTTTTCTTTTTCCTTTTTTTTCTGAAGTGCCTTCTTCCCTTCGCCCCCTTCTCCTTCCACTAAGCAGAGCAAAGACCGACGAAGAAATTTCTGTCTGGGTTCAAACCAACGTGGTGAGGAATGGGAACGTGGATGGACACCCGCGGGGGGGGGTGCGCGTTCGGGTGTGCGTGTGTAGCATTTTGTCGAAAGGCCCGTGTGTCTGTGGGATGCGCTCGGCACGCACGTAGCCATACCCTTGCCCCTGCACACGTGCGTGTGCATGTTAACTGCCAGCCGCTCAGCCAACGGGTAACAAAAAGACAGCAGATAGCATCAACACATCAGTAAGGTGCTCAAAGAAAAAAAGGTGGCTCCCACTTCTGGAATGGGATGGCCACATAAGGTGCTTCAAAAAGTTTTTTTTTTCTTTTCTTTTTTTTTTTTTTCAGTTTCAGATATTTTAAAAAAAGGACTGATTGAGCATGTGGTACGTGAGAGCAAGGCCGAGAGTTTTGAGACTGCTGACATCCTCCATAAACAAGAGCTTCCTCAGGGCAGGATGTATTTTGTTTTGTTTTTTTTGTGGGTGGATCATTTTAGATGCATTTTTTTTTAGAAAATAAATGAAAAAACATAACAAACCAACCCAATGTGAGAATTAGCATCAAAGTTGAACTGCATTATTGGGCTTTTTTTTTTTTTTTTTTTTTTTGCCCATTCACTCAGTTAGCACCGTTCCTTTTTATTCTGGTTACAACCCAATTCCTTCCGTAATTATTGAACATACAGAAAGGATCAAGCAGTTGTTTTTATTTTTTGTGATCTGTTTCAAGAGCCCAACCATAATTCCTCTGCTGCTGCTGTGTTTGTGTAGCATCTGGTTTCATGAGCTTAAGGAGAAAGGTTAGTCTGCCGATATTTAAGGTTGACGTGTGTGTTTGTATGCATACATGTTGATCTATACATACACACTGCACAGAGTATTTTTTAACTGGAGATAAAGTGAACTGGGTTCAAACACATATGCACTGTCTTCCCCTATGTATTTGAAACAGTCTGGAGCTTTGATTTTATTTTTATTTTTAAAGTGCATTTAAAGCAAAATAACTGGCATTCACATACCCCACGGAAAACACTATAGAAGTGGAAAGCTTGACTACACTAAACTCCTTGGACCTGACAATGCCAAAAGCAAATGGGGCAGTGACAGGCTTCAGCATAGGCAGCTATTCTTGGGCAGCACCATTGGCAAGGAGGGAAGGCAGGAAGTGGTGGAAGGGAAATTGCTTTAGAGTTTGAATACTTGACTGTTTCCAATTCTGACATAGCTGTGTCATTCCCAATACAGCTTCCATTATGGTGATTAATGACCTCGGTCTTACGGATGTCCATGTCTGACTCTCCCTAGTTCTGTGTTTAATCGATACTTTGTGTGTGTGTGTCCCAAGTGCCAGCATCTATTAGGAATAAGGCACTGTTGAAATATTATAGTTTTACAAAAGATGCAAAAGAATCCAACCCTAAAATTCCTAACTGCCCACACTGCTCTCCTCTCTTCCCCCCCCCCCCCCCCTTTTTTTTTTTTGGAAATATTGCATGTGATACAGTTTATTCTTATGTTCTCTAAGTGTGTCACATGTAGGTCTTGGACAAATGTCCATCAGCACCACAGACTGGTAGGAATATACCCTACATCTGTATATACATGCACACATGCAGATCATAACTTGGGAGGGGGGAATAACTACACTGTTCCCCTACTGCTCCTCCCTGGCTCTGGAGCCTAACCTAAAGAAGAGATTTCTAGTCCCCTGTCCACAGTATTTTCATTTATTGGATCATTTATGGAAGTGATCAAGTAATTTTTCATTCCCATCACCCAGGTATATACAGGTTTTGCAGATGGATTTCTCAAAGGGTAAATTTCTGAAAAGCCTGTATGTCACTTCCTGCTTTGTAGAATAACAGCATGGGTAGATGTTCACACCTGTAGTTGGTTTGGATTCCTTTCCCTCCTCACGAAACTTAATGCCCATCTGGCAGGCAAGTGAACTTGCAGCTGGAGCACATCTAGGGGCTGTTTTGCAGTTTTGCGCTGGTTCTTAAAATCAGAAAAGCCTCTATACTGCAGCTGGCCTCCTCCATGAAGTCATGGGCATTGATTGTGCAATGGGCAAGTCTGCAGACAAGACGGGATGCATTTGGGTCTGTAATCTTTTAACCAGGCTCCCCTTGCCCAAGAGCAGCTGTATATTGCAAGCCACTTTTCCATTATGCCATTGCACTATTTTCTCTGTATGGTTTTGACCTGGGGATAAGCCACGTTCCAGTACCTGGGTGGGGTTTATTGGCCCTAAAAATACTGCAGGCAGCCCATCATAATATGCATTTGCTGCAGCAGCTGGTATATCCTTCTACTGCTAAAACAATCCATGAAAATGATCCATCAACTACCTTCCACGAGCCAAGATCCCACTGGCTCCTCTCACCCCTTAACAAACACTAGAGCGGCCTTGTAAAGGCAAGACTACAGTGGCAAGTAAGAAAAGCAAACAGACAGTAGGGATTATAGCAAGGAAAGCATGAGACCAGACAATCTAGCATTTAAGCCTTAGGCTGGTCAATTTAGTCACCATTCTTAAAATGGACTGAGATTAAAGAAATCTAAACTGCTATGGACTCAGTTTTTAGAAGTGACACAAACCTTGGGCAGGAATTGAGTTGCCTTTTTTTCTTTTAGTGGTTTTAAAGTCATCTTGATAAGGCCACAAACTGCATTTGCCTTGTTGACATTAACTGCTTGCAAATGACATGAATTCACATAGGGCGAGTGTTTCACTCGGCCTGGATAGGAATGGGAGATAAAAGCCATCCCATGCCCATACGACTGATTTGTAGGTGAGATGACCACATGAGGAGGTGGTGGTGGAGAGTGTCTCCTCAGAAAGACCTGCTACATGTGGAAACGGAAAGGAGTTAATAATAGCTCCCCACTCTCTCTCCCCTCGCCACCACCTTCCTGCTTTGCTGGACACCTATAGACAAGTAGCACTTCTAAACAGCCTCCTCTGTCTCTCGTACGAGTAAGTTGGGGAAGGGGAGGAGGTTGGTATAATTACAAAAGGGAAAAAAGAAGGCACATGATTTTACTCAGTCCTGACTGAACCCACATTTTGAAAGCAAGGGCAGTTTTAGGTGGAGGGCAGAAAGGTGCTCAGTGGAGCAGATGTTCACTGAGAAGAATTCTCAGGGCCAAGAAAGAGGGAGAATAAAAAGGAAAGGCAGGAGAAATGAAGGCCACATTCAGCTTTCTGTCTGCTTGACAGTCTCAAGATTTGGCTGCATTATTGTCCAGGAAAGAAAAGACTCTGGTTGGTCTAGAAAGTAGCCCAGTTACATATCTCCAGTTTTTGATATGGCTGTTGGTGTCTTCCTCTTTTCCTTTTTTCTGGTTCCATGAGGGGCGTATTTTTAAGTGTATTCTTGAAAACTGGCCACACGGCACTCCTCCTGGGTAACCTTCAGCCTCTATTTCTCCTCAGATCAAGAATCAGTGATCAAATTGAGCAGTGCTCACTGCTATTGGCTCCCACCAAAGGGGGCACCTAAAAAGCTGGGCTGGCAACTGAAAGTGCAAACCATCCTCAAGGTTTTGTTAGGGTTGGGAATTTTGTCACAAAAGCCACTGGCCTGATGACGGGCAAACTAGGGGAGCTGCTGACTGAGAAACTGGGATGTCATTTACAGAGGCCATTATGAGCATCACTGCTCTCAGTCACGTAGCCCCTTGCACATTGCCACATCTGG